AGATATTATCCAATTAATAGAAATCACTTTATCAGATGGAGTTTCACAAACAGTAGTTCTCTCTTGCCCCAGAAGCTGGAAGTGTACCATCAGCATTAATTCCACACTCCACTGTTCTCTACTCACAGCTATTACAGAGGGGTATGTCCTGTTCGTTTCCTCCAGTTCATTCTATTAACTGACACAAGCATGAAAACTTCTTAGGATTGATTACAGTGCTACATTAGCTTGAAACAGGGCTGGCTTTAAACTTGTATGCTCCATTATGCTAAGCAGAAATACTGTTTTTCAGTATCCTGAAAGCAGTAGACTTCTAAATGGTCTACTTCAGACATTGTTAAGTACTTGAAATAGACTCTAATCTCAAACACAGAAATTATAATTTTTCTTTCATTACCTCAAAGCCGACAGTGAAAAACAATATTTGAGATTTTATTTCATATACTTTATTGATGTTATGAGTCAATAATGATGTGAACACGTTCTGAGAAATGCATTGTCAGATGATTTCCTCATTGTGCAAACATCAAAGAGTACACTTACACAAACCTAGACGGCATATCTTACTGTATACCTAGGCTATATGGTATAGCATATTATTCCTATGCTACAAACCTGTTCCTCATGCTACTGTACTAAGTACTATAAGCAATTGTCACACAATGGTAAATATTTGTATTTCTAAACAACGAAAAGATACAGCAAAAATACAGTACTATAATCTTATGGGACCACCATCATATATGCAGTCCATCATTGACTGAAATCACTATGCAGCACATGACTGCACTTTATTTTATTTCATTTACAAACTTGGAGACAACAAAGTATTAGTTTCAGGTTAATCATCATCAACTAGACTAAGAACTACTTAAAGACAGGGTCTATAATCTGGTCATCTTTGTATCTATTGCATATTAAGTATACAGGCCATATGGAGCATAAAGAATCAATATACAAAGATTTCCACCAGTCATGTTTGAGTAATGAGCCTGTCTATGAAATGTTCATCATGTAATTTTCTGTTTACAAGACACATATATTCCCCTGAGTTCTGCAGGTATGGCTGAGTACATTCCTAACAGGCTGCCCACCTATAAATATCAACTGTAAACTCCTAAACTCACAGCAAAATATAAAAGTTAACTATCTGAAGCGCTGAAGACTGATCAAAAACAGGCGGATTCTGAAAGAAAGCTATGACTTCAGCAAAGGAAATACCTTGGGGTGAATTTACTCATTTTAGAGCTTTTGGCCTTAGTGGCAGAGATTGAGAAAACTATAGCGCTGAAAAGTGAGGGAGGAATACTAGAAAAGACAGTCAGAGTTGCAGATCACCAAATACTATGTATAAAATCTTCCAAAATCTCTGGCTGGCCCCTGAATCATATGACACAAATTAAACACAAAAAGGCAAACTAAGGAAAGAAATGAACTGAGACTTGAACTCCTGCCCAATAGACACACAGTTTATACCCTAAATCCAACCAAGTTAATTAGCTGCTAAAACAAAAATATCAACATTCTTCCAAAGAAAGAAACAGAATCCAAGGTTTCTACAATGTACATTCACAACAGCCAGCATACAATCCAAAATTACTCAAGATGCAGAGGACTAAAGCAATATGACTCTTCATCAAGATAAAAGACTCCCAGTGCAAAATAAATCTAAGAAGGCCAAGATTTAGAAGACTCAGAAATTAGTAGACAGAGATGTTCAAGGACCTATTTAACCATACTCAGTGACAGAGGAAAATAATACTTGCAATGAATTAAAAAATAGAAAATTCCAACAGAGAAAAAAATATTTTTACACACATACATGTGTATATGATTTCAACATAAATTCTGAAACAGATGATTACAATTCCTGATATAAAAAAATTACTTGGTGGGTTAACAGCAAAATGAAGATAGAAATGAATCATGAATTTAAGATACAGCAGTAAAAGTTATAAAATCTGAAGGACAGGGAAAAAATAAAACAGAGCCACAGAAACCTTTGTGAGAGTGACAAAAGGCTGAACATATGCGTAACAGAAATCTCAAAAGAATGAGAGGAGAAAGGATCAGAAAAATGATTGAAGTAGTAACTGAAATATTATGATAAAATGTACAAGTGCTTTTAAAAACAAATTTTTCACAAAAGATGTCATAGGAAATCTGTCTAGTGTCATATCAAAGATACTGAATTCATCATCAAACTCCAGGCCCAGATTGCTTCACTGGTGAATTCTATCAAATATTTACGAATAAGTAACACCAATCTGATACATGTTCTCTGAGAAAATGGAAAGAAACACTTATCCAGTCATTTTATGAAACCAGCATAACACTAACACTAAAATCTGACAAAAATATTACTCTAAAAAATGTACAGGTCAGGCTGGGAGTGCTGGCTCCTGCCTGTAATCCCAGCACTTTGGGAGGTAGAGACAGGCAAATCACATGAGGCCAGCCTGGTCAACATGGAGAAACCTCATCTCTACCAAAAATAAAAATGTTAGCCAGGCGTGGTGGTGCATGCCTGTAATCCCAGCTACTCGGGAGACTGGGGCATGAGAATCACTTGAACCGAGGAGGCGGAGGTTGCAGTAAGTCAAGATTGCGTGACTGCACTACAGCCTGGGCAACAGAGCAAGACTCTGTCTCAAAAAAAAAAGGTACAGGTCAGTATCACTCATTAACATAAGATGCAACTGAATCCAGCACTATATGAAACAGATAATATATCACTATTAAGTAGGGTTTAACCCAAGAATACAAAGAAGGTTTTAGTTTTAAAAATCAATCATTAAAATCTACCATATAAACAGTGCAGAGAAACACCTTGTGTTTATTTCAATAGATGTAGAAAAAGCATTGAAAAAAATTTACCACCCACTGAGGATCAGAACTCTGAGTAAAATTGAAGTAGAAGGGAACTTCCTCTACCCAACAAATGAAATCTACCAAAAAAACCTTGTAACTAATATTGCTCTTAATGCTAAAATAACTGCATGTTTTCCTCCTTGACTAGAAACAGGAATAATTTCTACTCTGCTCATTTGCCTTCAGCATTATACTGGAGATATTAGCCAAAATAATGCAACTAAAATAATAAGATGCATAGAAACTGGAAAGGGAGAAGTAAACTGTTTAAGCAAATGATATAATAATGTGTATGACAAATCCTAAGAAATCTACAAAACAACTTACTAGAATAAGTGAATTTAAATTTAGCAAGGTAGCAGAAGTCATGGTTAGTATACAAAATTTCATATTAGAAAAAAACTGGAAAATAGAAATTTAAAAATACTCAATTTACGATAGTGTCAAAAAAAACACAAAATATTTAGGAATAAGTTTAACAAAAGATATACAAAACTCCTACCTTAAAAAGTACAAAATGCTGTTGATAGAAATTAAATGAAAGACTCAATATCGTTAAGATGTCAAATCTCCCACAAATTGCTCAACAGATGCAATGCAATTGCAATTCTAATCCCAGCAGATGGCTTTGTAGTAATTAACAAAGAAATTCTTAAATTTATATGTAATTGTAAAGGATCTAAAATATCTAAGTAATCCTGAAAAAGAAGGACAAAGGCGAAGGAACTATATTACCTAAACTCATGTCTCACTATGTAAAAACCTATAGTAATCAAGACAGTGTGGTACTGGCATAAGGATCCATAAATAGATTAAAAGAAGTGAACTGAAAGCTTAGAAATATACCCCCATTTATATGCTCACCTGATTTTCTCATCAAAGGCACCAAAAGAATCAGTGGAGAGAAACATCTTTCAACAAATAGTGCAAGAAAAACTAGATAACCATATGGGAAAAAAGATTAACTTGAGCCTCTCTCTCAAACCATATACAAAAATGCATTTGAGATACATCATAGACCTAAAAGTAAAACCTACAATAACACTTTTAGAGAAAATACAGAAGAGTATCTTTATAACTCATAAAGAACTCTAACATTTCCTTGAAGTTGGCAAAGATTTCAAGATTCAAATACATGAATAGCCAGTAAGGATATGAAAAATTGCACAAAATCATCAATCATAAGGGAAATGCAACTTCATACCACAGGAAGATACCAATATACCATCAAAATAGCTAAAATAAAAAAGGCTGACAGCACCAAATACTGATGGGGGTATGAGGCCGCCACAACCACAACCTGCATACATTGTTTGTAGAAATGTTACAAAGTATAAGTGTTTTGGAAAAAAGTATGATAATTTCTTGTAATACTAAATACACAACAATTTTCAGTACTGGGTATTTAATAAAGAGTTACAAACATATCTGGTTATGAAACAACTTGTACAAATAGCAAAGACATGGAATCAACTCAAATCCCTATCAATGACAGGCTGGATAAAGAAAATGTGGTATATATACACTATGGAATACTATGCGCTAAAGAGGAACGAGATCATGTCCTTTGCAGGGACATGGATGGAGCTGGAAGCCATTATCCTCAGAAAACTAACACAGGAACAGAAAAGCAAACAGGTAACAGATTATTATTCATCAATAAAAATAAATGAACTCCTAATATACACAACAGCATGCAAGAATCATGTACATGAACATTCAGAAGAAAAATAAACGAAAAATAGGATTTAAATAAAATATAAACAATGATATTGTGGGACCTTTATGTACCAAGCATTTAACACAGATTATCTCATTTAATTTTAAATCATCCAACCTCATATTACAAATGCGGAAACTAAAGTGGAAAAAAGCTGACCAGGTTTGCCAAAGACACACTGCTAGTTTGACTCAAAAGGATAGATTTTCAGGAATCTGCAACTCACACTAAAGTTAAAGGGAAAAGACATAATGACTAAATTTACTAAGTGTTTAATTAACTTTAAAAGTGTGTGTAGGGGGATGCTAAGAGGAAATATCTCTAAAAACACCAAATGGGATACAAATTAAACACCTGCTCCCCTTTGATTCAGGTTAAAATATCAGCAGTGTAGACCTCACTGTCTTACCTTAGGGAACTGTTTTACAGGAATTAACACTTTCTGTCCCAGCTTCATGTTCTTATTAATCACCACATCGATGTACTTTTCTTCATCCTTGCCTTCTCCTTTTTGAAACTTTTCTATTTCTGTGGAGGCAAAAAGATAACCATGAAGTGTATGACTCAGAAATGCAGGGGTTAGTGTTCTGGTTAGCTCTGTTGTGGCATGAAATCAACTACTACTGAAGTATGGACTATTAAATTGAGGCAACTGTTTTCAAGTACATTTCCTGTTTTATTAATGATTCTTCATAAATGGAATAGATGCATGTATCATGGCTCTACAAAGTCAAATCTCAACTGCTCATACCAACAGAGGAGAACAATAGACCAGATAACAAACACAAAAATACGTTACTTCGGGTCTTCTGGATCCCTAGATAAGGCTGATCAAATAAAGAAGAAAAGCCATAAGTATTCACAGTTCAATGATGCAAAGCGCTGAAACATCCCTATTTATCAATCTTGCCTGGCTTTTCAAGGCTTCTACAACTAAGAACTGATTCTATGATGGCATTAAACACCCTACACAACCTTCCAGTAGCCTACCTCCCCAGTCAAATCTTCCCTCCTTGCATATGACACATATCAACTATATGTCAAGGTCTTTACTAATGCTCTTTGCTCTAATTGTTACGATGATTTCATCTTCATCTCCTTTCGAGACTCAACCACATTAAATCTCATTTTCTGTGCAAGTGTTTCCTCAATGGGGCGGCAAGAACGGAAGAATCAATCACTCTCACCTTGATAATCACAAAGCACTTTACGTGCAACTCTACTACCACCCTTAGACGGAAAAAAAAAAGTGCTACCTCTCCCATTAGAACATACATTTCTCTCAGGTAAAATCTATTTATTCACTCATAAACATCTTCAACTAAGCAAGTTCCAGATCCTAGAAAATTTTAGCATAAAGTTTAATTCACCCTACGGTGCATAGTATTTGGTTGTACAAGAGATACAAAATTAGGCGCTTGCATGACTGATGAATGAATGAGTACGTGAACTGTTACCTCTAGGGACCAACCAATAGACACCCAGGTTCAGAGAAGGATAAACAGCAGTCTGGAGAAGGTATCAAAGACAGCATCAGTTGTACAAAGGAATACACATATTTATCCATTTTGTGTAAGCTACGAACACTTAAGAATGTTCATATGACACATATCAACTATATGCTAATGTCTTTACTAATGCTCTTTGCTCTACTCGTTATGATGATTTCATCTTAACATTTAAGATGGCACATATTAATATGCCATCCCTGGACAAGATAACTCACATTCATTACATAATTCAATCCTCAAAACAGATGACAAAGAGGAGTTTCAAAGAGGTGACTTCACAATAAATGGCAAAGGTAAGATTCACCCTCAGGTTTGTTCGACTCCAAAGACAAGGTGCCTGTACAGTCTCTCCCACCACTTTGTATGTCATATCGAACAAAAAGTAAGAAAGATGTTTACAGTATCTTGGGATAAATGAAAGATTTATTTAAAGCTGGAAGCTTCAGGCCTGAAGCAGCCAATGGGCTTCATAATTCCACTGAGGAGCTTTCACTCCATCATGCTATGCAGCCTCCCATTTCTAACTAAATTATGGTCTATTAAACAAAGGTTTTGAATGAGCAACAAAGAATTATTACAATTTAAAGGACACTAAATGGGACATAAAAATTCTAAGATTCTCATTCAGATCTGCTAATAACTGTCTTTGCCATTAGAAAAAGGTACATCAGTTAGGATGCGGGTTCTTCATGTTTAAAATGAGAAAAGGGAACTAGAATATCCAACGATTTGGTTCTAAAACCTTAGGATCTTGTGTGACTTACAAATGCTGACAAAGCCTCTCACTCCTTGATGAAACTTTGGTCACTAATAGTAAGCAAGGTGCTTTCCTGAGTTCTGTGAGTCATTATAGCAAATTATCAAACCTGAGGGAGGCTCCTGGAACCTCCAAATTTGTAGTCAGGCAGAAACCTGGGTAGCCTGGGCATTAATACTGTGGCTGGCATCTGAAGTGGGGGCAGTCTTATGGGATTAAGTCCTTGATCTGTGGGGAGGGGAGGAGGCCTGATGCTAACCCCTGCAGTTAGCTTCAGAATTGAATTACTGGATACACAGCTGGCATCAGAGAATTGGTTAGTATATGAAGACACTATACAATAGGGATTAACAGTGATGTGGTGGGGGAGACGGAAGGAAGCAGGGTAGAAACTGAAGATAAGAAAAGGATGGCTAAGAGAAAACAGCAAATTATATCTGCAGCTTCTAATCAAAGCTTCCAAGAAGAGAAAAAGACTAAGTCATCAAATAAATGAATTAGTCATTTTGTTTGCTTTCTTGTACTACACTATGTTTTGATCCTGAAAAATTAAGTCTAAGTGGAATCTGTAATGGAAAATAAACACAGAAATACAAGGGTACCTTTAATTTTTATTGATTTTTTCTATAAAAATAATACATGCACATGGTAAAAATTTAAAACAATATGACAAGATACAAAATTTTTTTAAGGTTTCTCCTATCACTTCAACTCCAGAAATAATTATAATCAACTATTTTTATATACTCTTTCAGAAATTTTCCAAGAATAGAATAGACACACACACACACAGTTTGAAAATTGTAGCACTAATGGTATAAATGAGCTACATTGATTTTGTTTTCTTCAGTAAAGAGCAGTAAGTCTCACATCAGCTGCTCCGAGTATAACAATTCATGACTTCAGCTTTAATTAGAAGAAAATAAATCCCATCTTTCATTATCTATTTATGCAATAATTAGAAATACCTTTGGCATAGTTAGAAGAGTCAACAAAATCAGGTACACTGAAACGTCCTAAAATATTTTTTTGTAAGGTATGTGTATGTGTGCCAAAATAGATTCAATTGTCTCCTTTCTTTTCGAATAACAAAGCAGTTTAGTAATTGTTGAAAACTCATACCAGATGCACAATATTTAAATCCACAAATTCAGAATTCCACGTTCTTCCTTGTATCAGTGTTATTTAACATTTTGACGTAAGAAAATCATATAGACAAGTTTTTAAAAATTAGGAATTATGTATTTTATCACATATTACAGTTTAAGATCATTGATGATTTTAAAAAGGAAAATGAAAGAAAATCTATATAAAATATCTAATTTCCTCTCTACATATACACGGCATCCTACAAATCTTAAGTTGCTAGAACACACTGTTTCTATCTCAAATTTTGAATGGTGTTGGAATATTTTACTGTTTAAGGTTTTTTTAAAATTTTTTAAGCCTGATGCCATATCAGAAGCATGTAGGTTTGCATTTAATGGGCCTAACGCACCACACAACACCACAAAGAGCCCTGAGCCCGTCGCTGGAGTCAAACAGACCTGGTTTAAATCATGACTGCTGTACTTTCCTCAGGCCCTGGTGCCTTCCAATATATAACTCAAAACTGGTTGAAACTTTTACTGTTTTCAGTAGATGCTGTTCAATCAACAATTTTTATTTTCTACTTGAGGATTATAAGTAGCTTAATGTTTTCTTTGAAATCCAGAAATACACAAAATGGAGAATTGTACATAATGCACAAAAATGGAGAATTGTACAAAATTATCCATGAAATCTTGAGACAGCTGTCTCAAGGATTTATGCTTGTCCCTAACTGCGAGGTGCATATTCAAAAACCTCTGCTATCTCCCCTCTCATCCTCCCTGAGGGAGGAAAGATGCTTGAGAGCCACCAAGATGGATGTGACCCTCTAGTTAACTGTAGCAAAGAGAGGCCACCAATAGAGAAAACCCAATCAGATTTTCAAGGACAAATGCATAGGGGATTTGACTTTCACTAATCCCCAGATTACATTTGGTACCAAACAGCTTAATGTACCAATACCATCTCCTAGCTCAGAAATAATAAGCAAATGTGTGATTAAGGTTTTAGATAATGTAGGGGATTAAAATGCTATGTTTTCAAACCATACACACCAAACTTCTCTCACTGCAGAATTCTTGTTTTCAGTAATAATATCTATATTGTCTTTAGTTTGTTCATTTGTTTTGCTTTGGTCTAGTACAGAACTTCCTAAGCAATGGCCTCTTTTCCTTTTTAATGTACAAGATATACTAAAGTCCACTAATCTAAAAATAGCTTTAAAATCTTTGGATTTAAATGAGTAAAGTTTCCAATATAAACATTTTAGTAATGTAAAATTTTTAAAGTAGCTTCATTTCTCTCATATAATCAAACACACGGATTATTATTTTTCCTTTGTTCTAGCAACTTCATTTCTAGAAATTTAACCTACGTATATACTTAGACAGATGCGGAATATTACACACAAAATTATCCACTACAGCGTTGTCTTTAGTATCAAAACACTGGGAACCACCTAAATGCCTATCAGCAGGAGCTGGGTAAGTAGGCTAGAGCACACCCTAGAATAAAATAGCATGTAGTTACTGCACAAAATGAGGAAACTTCATGTTCTGATAGTCAAAGATCGGTACCAAATGCACTGTTTACTTACACACAAACACACACAATGTAAGGAAAAAAATGTTTAATTTACTTATATGCACAAAGAAAACATCTCCCTATTGATAAACAGTTACACACCATGTGACAACGTTACAGTCAACATATATGACAGTGGTCTTGTAAGATTACAATGAAGCTGAAAAATTCCTACTGCCTAGTAATGGTTCAGCTGTGGTAACCTCACAGCACAAAGCATTACATGTCTATGGCAATGATAGTGTAAACAAACCTTCCATGCTGCCAGATGTATAAAAGGGTGCAGTAATGATCCAGTCCTTCATATTCACTCATCACTCAACCACTGACTCACCCAGAGCAACTTTCAGATCCACAAGCTCCACTCATGGTAAGTGTCCTATGCAAGTATTCCATGTTTTATCTTTTGTACTGTATTTTTATCGTGCTTTTTCTGTGTTTAGATACACAAAATACTTACCACTGTGTTACAACTGCTTACAGTACTCAGTATGGTAACATGTACTCTGGCTTTGCAACATGCTGTCTAGGTTTGTAGCCTAGTAGCAACAGGCTATATCACCTAGCCTATGTGTACAGCAGGCTGC